TACTCAGATCCAAGTGTACTACGATGATAATGTACTTGTTAGAAATAGGATCACAATGCGGCTATAAATCAATACGGAGAGTATCGTATCTTAACAGTGCAAAGTGCACCGTCCATTTTTACACTGTAGGTTGCCATGGTATCTCTTCATTTTTACGTACATGTCAGAGGCTGCTTCTTGTGGTGGTGTAGCCGACTGCGCTCGACTGTGCTCTTCCGAATCGGATACGTCAGACCGTGTTCATACAGATAGCGTGAACGCGCGTATTTCTACGTTGTGCGCTGGCAATGGTGCTCGCAGCATTCTGTCGATCGGTGGTATTTAAAATATGGAATCACCTTGACCGTAAAGGTCGAGGCATCGACCCACTGCTTTCAAAAATGATCACTGGTCTTGACCAAGACAGCTTCGATCATCACTCGATCGCGCCGACCAATCCCGGAACAACCGCTTCCCATATTGCTGCGCCAAGATGTGGCACGAATTTAGCTCATCTCCGGCGATCACTACGCAAGGGGCTTCATTCGTTGCCACGTTGGTGAATCGTCCGTGCCTACTACGAACCGAGTCAGAGTCTGTGCCTGTATTCCTCCGCGTTTATGATCAATGTGGCAAGGAAGAAACGATTCGCCCACAGCAACTCACCGCTACCTGAGCCACGTCGACAGAGGCCGTCCGCCCCGTCAACGTCAAGTTATGCGTTGATTCACAGTACCTAGAATCTGCAATCGCGCTCGGTTTCATCGAAACCGACGACTTTGACGCGCTCTTTGAGAGTGAATTACGCCCGCACTTCGACGAGAAGGACAAGGATTCTCAAGAGACAGACGCGCTCGAATCGCTCGACGATAGAAGTATACTTCAAGCTTAAATTCGGGACGGATTTTTGCAGTCCTAACCGCGATATGCTGTTTAAGAGCATGACCACCGGTACGTGATCAAATATTAGAGCCATAACTTTCCATCTGAAGTTTTTCCAACTTAAGAACTGTTTCGCAATCAAGAAGCAACAATAGTAAGTTGGCCCGACAGGTTAATGCTCTCAAGCATATGTCTGTGAATTGCCTGCGAGTTCTTTTTGCAGCCTGTCTCAGAATCAAACTGATCCCCCAAAATGTAAATGCTTTCTTCCTAGTAATGACGACTCCGCATGCGGATTCATTTCTTTGTCATGAAGACGAGCCTGGTCGTTGAGCAAGGTTTTTGCGAAAAAAGTAAGTCGATGTCCGGTTGATGTGAGTATAAGACTCCGATCAGATCGAATGAGCTTGTTGAGGTTATCTGCTTCTTTTGAAAGAAGCAGATAACCTCGTCAAGCGTCTGAAATCAGATGTTGACATCTGCTTGACATCAAGCGAAACGACCCCGGCGGTTTTCCTGTTGCTTACAGTACCACCGCGATGTATCACTGTAAACGTTTGTCACGTCATGCAGCATTCGAAATGCTGCTAAATGTTATCTAAAAATTGAAATTATTACAGTACCTGTATACTGTAGTTGCCAAAAGTGATTAGATTTTACCTCTAGTCAGTCATAGTCGCAAGTCACGTGACCACATGCCCATAGTCAGTCAGTTAGAAATACAACCCTGGTCTGGAACGGAATTTTTGAAGCTATACACCCAGAAAAGGAAGTCTGGATGTAACAACGATTTGAAAAACGATAAAGCGCAGCTCTTTTTCTTCGTTGCCTTTCCTACCGCTCCATGACACAACTGACGCCAGCCGGTTGCGTTGTTGTGCATCAAAGTCAGACCCATCGAAATCGAAGTGAAAGCATGCTACAAGGAGAGCACATTGAACGGAGATGTGACCCGCATCAAAGGTAAGTTGAAGCAGGGCCCTGATGCGAGGCAGGATTGACGTAAGCACCGGTTGTGATCCCGCAGACACCCGACGAGGATCCGGTTAATTACTGTCCTGATGGGTTTTTGGCGTGTGTGTATTTTGGGGAAGGTGCAAATGCGTTGGCAATCAGTTTCAACTCATCCACAGGGATCGCAGAAATGCATCCTCGGTCTGGGTAACAGCAATCGCCGCCGCAGCCGCCGGGTAAGAGGCGGGCACCCGGGGCCGCGCAACGGGCCAAATTGAGCACACGTGGCTATGCTGGCAGCGCTGTGGTGCCAAATCGCTCCAGGTTGCTTGATTTTGCCGCTCGCCCGAATGTTACCCCCCATGTTACCTGCTGTGGCACGACGCGCCGGATGTGAAACAGGATGTGCAAATCTGGCCTGGGTCACCGGGCCGGATGTAGGTCGGATGCAGGGTAAAAAAAGAGCGATAGGAGCCCACAGGGTAGGCAAATAAAAGCGCATGCGATACCGTCCGGCGGACATTCATGCGGCCACGCTGCAAGCGCCGCGCCGCTACGCCCCTCTACATACGCCATCTCCACGGCGCGCAACTTCCACAGCAACCGCTGAGCCGTCCTGCGCTGCCTCCCGTCCGCGAAAACACCCGTCGCCTCACCTCGCACCGTCAGCGACATCGTCACGCTCACCGCCGTCCCCAAGACCACCCCGACCGCCACGCAGCTCTGCGTCTTGCGCTTCCTCGTGCGCCACTGGGACGGGCTCTCGCGCACCTACGACGACGGGCTCTTCTACATCTCCCCCGCCACCCTGCTCCGCCACGACCCGGCCCTCCTATCGACCTTCTCCAACCCGCTGCACTTCCCGCTCGCGGCCAACGCCCGCTCCATCGCCCGCTCCATCTCGCCCGACTGGTTCTCCCTGCCACCCTTTTCTCTTGGTCGCGAGTTCAATTCTTCATGAATACTAATATTTTTGAATAATGTATTAAACAATGTTTTAAATAGTTTGCAGATTCACGCAATTTTAATTTTTGGCAGTGGCCCGCTGGTATGGGGCGTATGAGCTGTTACCCGCTGCATGTTACCCGTGCTCACGGATCCTACGAGCTCTCCAGTCCTTTACACATTTGTACTCTTATCCTACTAGTTTGGCTTACGTCGATGATGTGTAATTACAAATACTGTAGTCTAGGAATGTTCGCGAACACCACTGTTGTGAGTAGTTAGCGTTGCGTCTACAGTTATATAAAGGGAGACCTAGTCTGTCTCCAGAATTAAAGAAGGCACCAAGTCGTGTCCAAGTTCGATTGAAGTCTGTTTTCGGGTTGCGTTGTTGTGCATCAAAGTCAGACCCATCGAAATCGAAGTGAAAGCATGCTACAAGGAGAGCACATTGAACGAGAGATGTGACCCGCATCAAAGATATGGATCGCAGACAGGGAAAGAGTTTGGGAGAAGCCAGCTTACGATTAAATTTTGGGTATGCATGGGTGTGGCAGGTGGGCAAGGTTCTCTTTCAAGCGTACTGTAGCAGGCCTGAGCTGTGAACAGATCTCGCAATACCCACAACATCATGAATGACTGGTCACAGTTGTGAGCATTACGCCTTTTGTCGACGGCGGAGGAGGTGATGAAGAGGAAGCGGGCCATTCAACGGAGAATGGACCGCTTCTTCTTCCTCGTTTTCCAGGACAAGAGTTCTGCTCCCACATACAACACCATGCTTAATGGGCACAGCGGTACAAGTAAACATCCCCATTGGTCCACCGGAGTTTGTCACCAGAAATATTCGCTTGGCATGAAAGGCCAAGCGTACAAGAATGCGAATGACATCAATGGTACAGTAATAGCACATTGTTGGCGTCGGACTACATCTTTCTACGCCGCGTTATTGCATGCTCGTGGTTACCGACATTGCGTTGAGCCTTTTCAGAGGTATGGCACTACAGTATGTACGTACATGATCCTTTTTCGCAGCCATAAATGCCAGCCTACACTTTTGCAGATGTCCAATTGCATCATCGACCCTGCCTTTTCCCGCCATAGTCTCTATTCTAGTAAGCAACTGCATAATATTTTTCCGCGGCGGCAGCGGCTCTCGGGCAGTACGTC